AATCTATGGTGAATGTCCGTTGCGCGCGGCTCACGTGTCCCGTAATGAGCGGCACTTTCCCCTCTTAGAGGAGATTCCAGGCTACCCTCAGGGAAGCCCCTAATACATCATGAAGCACTCGCAAGGAACATAACACTTCAACCTCATTCCGCTTTCCTTGGAATAGGTGACCCATTAGAATAGATTTGGCCCTTTGCCGAGTTCCATAACTCTCAAATGTGTTTCCAGTCGAGGATCCCGAAGAGCCTCCAGTTTTTCCCGATTCTCGATTATCGTCCTATGGGGGTAAACTTCGTGAGTCAGTTCTGAGATGTCTTCTTCACTAGCGGCATGGTATCCTTGCACATGAAGATGAGGAAGATGAAGGCTCCTTGGGAGGACTGGAGGATGACTTCGACATAGGAAAACACCTCTTCTTCCATGAAATAACTGCATAGTCCGACTAGCCACGTCAGCCCCATTAGTACAAACAACTTGATGTATAGTCCAAACCTGTACAGAGACCGAAAAGAAGGCTTGATGGGCACGAAATTTGATCTGACTTCCTAGACACTGAGACACCGAGGCAGCCACGAAATCGACCTTTCGCTGCCTATCCTAAATTTCGCTTGTATCCTTGTCTGAATGTTACTGTACCAAATTTTCTGCGGATCGATAGCCAACTCGACTCCCTGCAAAACGAGGTATTTTGCTCAAGTCTCCGACCGAGCATAAAATGGTCACTGGGTGCGAAAGTTCAAAAGATAAGGATGATGCGCGAAAACCACCCCTTTTACCAGATATATTTTCTCAGGGGTTCCAATAAATACATGTGAATGGGTGAGTGAAGTTGGGGGTAATGGCAAGAGCAGCAGCTAACAATCAGGGACAAAGTGAGGCATTCTATTTAACTCCCTTCCCCCAGAAAATGCTAAGTCTATGAAAGTGCCACTTTCCTACCGAGCATCATTTTCCAGTTAATCTCTCAATTTTTTAAACCTGACAACGACAATTGCGATAGAACTCTTCCTCATCATCCTAGATTATGCCTTTTCAAGATGAAAATGTCAAATCTGCCACACGAAAGGGAGAGGAGGCCACTTTCAAGGGAAAGTGTGAGATTCGCTCTCGCCCCGCCATCTCTCGGATGAACGAGGAGACGAGAGTTGCCCTCGCACTCGCAAGGCAACCGTGGCATGACGTCACAGCAGCGCCCCCTACCGGGAATCCAGGGATTTTAACCGTTCACGATGAAATACGGGCGATTCGTCAGTTCGTCGCCACCTGCATTAACACAGACACCGCAAAGAAGTACATCACCACGGTTTCCTCATGAAGTCCATCTCTCAAATTGCAGATTTTCAAAATTGCAGAATGACGTGCTCTTTCTTCCCTGCTTACATCACCTTCAGTCCTTTGAAAGCGCTCACGAACGACGCAAAGGAAGCCAACGAGCGCGAGAGTTCTTCAAAGGTCGCATCGGTCACTGCGAGCCAAAAGTCCCCGGGTGCCTCAGTGGTATTTATCGCATGGGAATCGTGATTGCATTGCAGTTCGCATCGATGGCTATCCAATTGAATGCGTGCGGTCGTGAACCCTTTTTTTTTTCTGCATCCCACTCACGCTCATTTTCAATACTTCATCAACTCCGCAAGCAAGCAAGATTTTTTATTCATGGTACCATCGATGGCTACCGCAAGACGCAGCGATACCTGCGACACCGGCTTGAGGCGTTTAATGACTTTTCTTCTGGGTGATTTCCGACGTGACTTTCACTTCGCAGTGACCTTTGGCCGACCCCTGTTTTCTCTTCCTGGAAAGCGAATCAGTAATCAGTTCCTGACTACGGAACAACCATAAAAAAAAGGGTGAAAGGCAGGGGGACAATAGATTCACCATGAAAAAAAAATTATGACCGCGAAAAGGAAAGGTTTCTAGGAGCTGCCAGATTTTGTTGAGGAAAGGACGGATGGATTGGAATTCAATCATGAATAATGACAAATGTCTTTTCCTCCGTGTTATGATTCCTCTTTCGAGTTCATCACGAAGTCTCTTCAAAATAGTCTCCATATATAAGCCTGACAGCGAAACATATGATTCAGCTGGATGCCATTCCTCGCGGTCGTCTTCTATCCTTCAAATTCGATTCCAATCCGGAAATGCTATCTACCCGTATTATTCTGCTTTTGATATACAAGAGCGGAATGTAATGGACTCGAACGTCACCGTATATCTTGTTCGTTCGCCGGAGCCTCAACGATCCAAGTCGGAAATTCTGCGACGCCATAACAGCCGAACTTTGGTTTTCCGTCGCGATCCATCGTCGCAGATCGACTAAAACGGGTGGGAAAATTTTGGACGTAATCTTTTCCTTTTCGTTTCAACACGTGATTTAGCAGATAATCCATGTTACGCCATGCTCAACTAATGTGAAATGACTCCAATTATTTTTCTTCAGGCTAACCTGGAAGTGACCACATTTTATATATTTGATAGTTCATTACGTTCACGGAAGCAACTTCACTACTCGCACCTGATTCGCATTATCTACATTTTCTCGTCAACTTTTTTTTTTATACAGAAAAACCCCTTCTCTGATACCAAGCAGCCGTTTGCATTAAAAAAAAACCGCATCGTTAAAATCAGAAAAATTTTAAAGTCGCAGGCAAAACTTAGATAAATATTTAACCTTCATCTACACCCTCCTTGGTCAGACCGGTCTCATCAATTCATGCCTCAAGAAATTAATTTTTTTGGCGAAAGGCTCGTCGAGCTATGATCTGCGGTCATACACACCCCTGGAAAGGTGATGGACATACCGAATCCACCTTCTTGCGTAAAATGTTATAAAAGCAACGAGAGAGGAAAATACATGATATTAGAGCTGTATGCTGGGAGCTAGACAGCCGGTTGATAACTTTCGGGGGTGCTTGGTGGATTGTTTGAGTCCTTCCAGGAAATGCGTGAATCGGACAGTGGTCGTCAACCCGTCTATTTTCCAGTGCTTTCGAGGTGTTGGCGGTAGCTGAGGGTCCTATCCGGGGTGACCCCGAGGTATCGTGGGTCATTGTCGCGCGCCAGCGGGGCATCCACAAAACTTCACTGTGAGCGCTTTTCTGGCCTCGGAGTTGTGAAGGCGGAAGGCGCAGACGGACGCTTTCGACGCGTTACGCTCGAGGCGCCAGGTGCGGATGCATCCCTCGAGCGTCCAAAGGTCCTTTTCGAGGGTCCGTTCTGTTGTTTCTAGCTTCTCCGCTTGAGTGGTCAGAGCGATGTCGTCCGCGAAAATAAATTTCCGGGATGATGTTGGTGAGATGTCTCTGGCGTACAGGTTAAGCCTCTCCCGGTCCCATTTAAAAGCCATGCATCCCCGGGATGTACACTCTCAGGCGCTTTCGGATGTTTAGGCCGGGAGAGGATTAAAGAGCACCGGTGCGAGAACAGAAACTTGGGGGAGTCCATCGTTCAGCTTTCGCGTGCGGCTGGTCTTCTCGTCGAGGTGCACACAAAAGTTGCGGTTACTCGGGAACGCGGTGATCAGAGAGACGGTTAGCTGGCATTTGACCTTTGCTAACTTCTGCAGCAGACCTTTCCTCCAGACGGTGTCATATGCGGAAGAAAGGTCAATGAATGCTGCTCCTGTTTTTAGTTTGCACTGAAAGCCGGTTGCAATGTGGGAAGTCAGGGTTACTACCTGATCACAGCAGTTTTGGCCCGTCCTGAATTGAGCGCATTTGTATGTGCATATTTTTTTAACTTATTAGCGAATAAAAATCCGCTCCCTACTTAACAGACATAGCAACTGATGGAAGAACGAATGGAAACAGTGCTCTAGGTTTCGGGTTGTGAAGGGTAAATAAAGGCCTAGAAACTAGTCTTTCGATGTTCATTCTCATTTTCCCCAATTTCCTCATCAGGTGTAAAACCGCTATTCATTTTTCTAAGAGCGTAGGGAGAGTACGGCATCTGTTCTTAATGGGATAATACAAATCTACCTATTCTATTCCCCTTGAGAAGCCAATTACTAGCACGGCGTTCAGATAATTGTCACCGATAGCACACCTTCCACTTCCTGGCAGCGACCATCAAGACGATGAACCTGATTAAGGGGCAGTTGCTCATTCGACCCCAAGTATGTCGCCCTTTTTTTTAAATCTCAACAGCCTCTGTACGCTAGCATCTGATCACATCGGCGCTGCTTGATACCTGTTTTATATAGGAAAAAAAACGTTATGCCTTTCAAAAGGCATAACGTTTTCCCAACAACAAGTTTTCCCAATTTAAATGTTAATGCGATAGAATACATCTGATAGCCATTGGGCGCTTTTAATCAGCCTTCTCTCGCCGTATTTTTCATCTCTCAGGCCAATTCTGAACAAGACTCGAGTAGGTTTTGAGTTATAAGACTGCTATTGCTTTCATTCTTTTTCTAGTGAAATCTATGGATTTGAATATTCATATCAATTAATGGTAAAAAAAATGCATGTGGAGGTAATTTTGTTTATTTGCCGAGAAAAAATCATACAGAGAATGGCCTTACACAGGATTGAGAATAGACACATGAATCTTGAAAAAAAAATCATATTCATGATTACACAGATATCTGCTTGGTGTTGGGGGAATCATCTAAAGGTGAATACTAGGAATAGGACCCCTGAGTATGAGTGGAGATCCCTGAGTAGACAGAACTTTTTTGGCCTTACGGGTCATTTTTGCATCCTTGATTCACTTCCGTCCTTGGAAAATGGCTACGGGTGAATCATCACCACCACCTGTGTTGAATTAAGGAAGAAGGGTAGGAAATTGAGGTTTTGAAAAGTCACTAAGTGGGCAGGCCAAAACTCGTCCCTGCTACAACCGGATATGCAGCCAAATATTCATGAAAAATAAGACTTCCTCCAAACTTTGCGAATGATGTGAGCAGTATGAAATTCGTAAAATGACCCACGTAAAGTCCAAGATTGATATCGATGACAAGACATGTCAATGAAGTAATGCAATAACTGAAATTACGGAAAATAAAAAATAATGACCTTGAGAGAAAAATCTAAGACGTTGAGGCCCTTTGTGGGCTATTCACTGTCCCGATAGGAGCTCCATTCTCCCCTCCTGGGTTAGATTCCAGGCCTTCCCCCTGCAAGCCTGAGATCTTTCATCCCTTTTATCAAGCACACGCAAAGAACGAAACTCACCTCTCACTTCTCACTCCTTGGAATCGGTGATACCGGAGCAGAATCTGCCTACGGCTGAGTGCTCTGACTCTCAACTGTGCCTCCAGTCGAGGAGGAGCTCTCGGCCCTTTGGCGAAACCTTGAGAACCATTCCTGAGACGTCCTCCTCATGTACTGCATGGTATCCTTCTTGCACACGATGAAGAAGATGAAGACTCCTTGAACGGACTCGAGGATAGTTGCGATGAGTAAAAACACCTTCGTTTTCATGAAAATGTAGCCGAAAAGCACCACCAGCCACGTCAGCCCCATCAGGAAAAACAACTTGATGTATAGCCCAAGCCTGTGCAAAGACCGGGGGAAGGCATGAACATTTGAACCGATTGGAGTTTCAAGAAATCTTGCCCGAAATACTTTTATTTTTTTATTGTTTAGACCTTTTTTGGGCATTTGGTCCAGGTCCTTCTCANAAGTGGCATAGCACCAAAATTTGAGCCCTCCGGTCAATAACAGGGTCCGCTCTCGGCATACAGCGTCGTCTTGCGGATGTGAAACAACTTCTTAGACTCATGAACTTCTCTGTCAAGTATCAGCTGTATCCAACATTCCCTTGAAAAGTTATAGCCAATCTAAATAGGTTGGTGACATGGTACCCTCGTGGTCAGGAATTTAGCATCTGGGCCTTGGGGGCCATTTTGTGCCCCCGACCCCAACCCCAAACCCCATGAAATTAAAACTCTCTCTTCTTGGCCTCCGCTCGAAATACAGACATTTTTCTTTGTCTGCAGGCTATTTTCAAAATAATCCCACCAATAGCCAAATTTAATTGAAATCTGAGACGGTCGAGCACAGATCATTACATCACTTAAAGTGGTATGATCCATTTCTAAGCACCTTTAACTTAACCCCTTAAATGTGCATTGCACAACTGAGGCAAGCAAAAAAAAGCTGACATGCATCTCAACACATTTGAACCGTACAACGTCGAGCGGGTCGCCAATGGAAACATTTTTTTGCATTTATGAAACAGTGTTTCTCCCATAGAAAGTTGTCAAGCCTTTTTCGGAATCATCCAATATGTAGTAATTGCCAATTTTATAGTCATTCACACATGAGTTTTTGCAACAAGTTACAAATATTTATTGATTTCATTGTGGCATTCCTACACCGCTTCTGATATCTACGGAAACAGCAGCTCAATATGAGTTTTAAACACAGGTTTTAACGGTCCACTTCCACCCATTCCTTGGTAAACTGAAGTACTACCAGATTTTCCACGTATAGGAACATTTAAAATCATTTTCAGGGACTGGGAACTGCTGTGAAGAGAGGATAGATACTCCCTGTGAAGGTATTGATCTCTATTTTACCAGCAAGGAATTATGGAAAAGGTAACTAGAGATGACTTAAAGACATTGAGGCCTATTCAGGATGATCATCCTCTCTCTCCTGCTCACATGACTCTCAGTCGTAGTGAAATTGCATGGTGACACCATACTATTTTCCTATAATCTCAAACGTAACCCTCCATAATAATAGTTTCACATCCGCACTGAAATGTTCGAAGCATCCCTTCTGTCGATCCTGGCCATACACCGTATACTCTGGCGTGGATCACTTTCACGCACAGGGTACGCCTCCACCCCCTTTTTCCACATTTTAATAAGGAATTTGAGTGTTCACGTTGTTCTTACTTGGCTTACTTGGATAAATCTTTATATTTACCGCAAAAATGTAGTTGCAACTTCTAAAATACCAGTACCATAAATTTCTTACTTTTTAGTACACCGTAGTACTGTGAAAGTTTATTACGCTAATAATTTGTTAGTTTTCAGTTGGATATAATTATTATTTAACGACAATTGCGTCTTATTTCGGGAGCCAGGAAATATTCACTGAGAATGTCATTGTCGCACCCATTACCTTTTGGCAATTTTGATTCATATTCAAAAATGTTTAAAAAATGTATATTTATAACTCCTTGGTGCACAACACTCAGGACCGTTCAACCGCTTCGTTACAGACCCATCACTCATCACCTGAGGGTCCACCATAGATCGAAGCTCATCACGTTCAGCCAGAAGAATGCGGAGGTAAGTGCGTGGACGGCAAGTAATACTGTAACAATGCCAGAAAGAGATATTCATCTGAAAAAATGTTATTCTAAACAACGACTAGGCAATCGAGAGGATGCATACTGGTAGCGGCGCAGAGGATTTTGTAGCTGCCGACGTTGAAGATGTACATTCTGACGCAACGTATAACGACGTTAAGCAAGAGACACCCGACATAGAGAAGGCGAATTTTTCCTGGAAAACTCTTTCGTTCTTGTGTGAGGAATAGGAGGAGGAGAAAGGTAATTAGCTGGACTCCAGCTGCGACCAGGGAAACCACGGAATCCGGACGTAAAGGATCAAATGACCTTGGACCGCAGATGATGACTATGGGATCCATCGTCCCGTTGATGTTCCGCATGTGGTCGATGCAATATCCAGGGAAAGGAAAATTTAATGAGGTGGCATTATGGAATTGGAATGTCAAGTCACCAGTCGGGGGTAAATAAAAGGTTGGTTTCTGATCACGTTTGGTTTCCGGTGATAATGGTAGTACTTCCCAGGGCAGAATATGACATATGGGGTAAACAGGGACACCTATAATCACGTGGATGTTTTCCAATGAAGGAGAAGGGGAATTAAAATATTTCCGGGGATCCCAGAGCTCTTCGGTTGTACTACATTGAGGCCAACGTCCGGTCAGATTAACGAAGAAATCCATCTCGGGACAACATTTCAAGACGCACAATTTCCCTTCGCAGTCTCGGATAATCTTTTCGGACTGGTGACATTGCTGAGCCAGAGTGAACCAGGACCCTCGCAGAGAACGCACATTTTCTACGTAGTACTTGTAATTGGAAAACGTGGCATTCGAGGAATGGCCTAAGGGATACACGCGGTCGAGGAGAACTGGGTGTCCTTGCCGAGGAAAGAAGCCTTTCTCAGGAAGGAAATGCTCTGCACAAGAAAGGGAAGTGAGGTCCTTGATATGGAGTCGATATTCATTTCGTGACAAATTCCGAAATTCCCCCGTCTTTTGATCAAAGACTGGGATCGTCCACTTGTATTTCGGGGGAATCCAATTTCTTAGAAACTCTTCATAACTGTCGTTCGAGGGACAACA